GGGAAACCTAGGAAGGTGTCTCCCACTTTTGGGGATTCAACTTTGGTGAAAAAAGAGTTCATGACCATCAGGTGCTAACTGCTTGAGTCAGTCCTTAGGGACATCCATCTATCCGATCAGTGCCCCTTTGCCCATGACAGCTTCCTGATTCCATGTCCTTGTTGGTGTGGACTCTGAAATCTAAAGGACTTGGGTTACAATGCCAACCCTACCAATGTCTTAGTTCAGGTTGCTGGATCCCATACCACAGATTGGGGGCTTAAACAATAGGCATTTCTTTCTCACCATTCTGGAGGCTGAAGAATTCAAGACCAAGGTGTTGGCAGATTTGGTTATTGGTAGTATTTTCTTCCTGGTTTGCAGATAGCCGCCTTCTTGCTGGGTGTGCTCACGGAGAGACTAAGCTCTGCTCTCTCTTCCTCTTTTTTATTTAAATTTAAAGATTGTATTTATTTATTTGACAGAGAGATAGAGAGAGAGCACATGTAAGCAGAGCAGCAGGCAGAGGGAGAGAGAGAAGCAGGGAGCCTGCTGAGCAGGGAGCCTGAACCGGGGTTCAATCCCACGACCCTGGAATCATGACCTGAGCCAAAGGCAGTTGCTTAACCAACTGAACCACCCAGGTGACCCCTCTCTTCCTCTTCTTATAAAGACACTAGTCCTATTGTGGGGGCTGTACTCTCCGAACTTAATCACCTCCCAAGGGCCCCACCTCCTAATACCATCACACTTGGGGGTTAGGGCTTCAACATAATAATTTGGTGGGGGTGGAGGGGAACCACAAACTTTGTCTATAACTACCACTCATTAACTATTTGGTCACAGGCAATTTACCTAACCTTTCCCATTAGTTCAATAGGAAAATAATATCTCCTTTACCTATTTGTAGCATGGACTAATCTTGGCAACTTATATGAAAGATTTGTTCAGAGAAGATGACTAATCAAAGTCAGTGACATTCTATTTACCACGCTTCATTAACAAAATTATTTATCAACATCCTGCATGTTTATTAATATTCATAAAATATTTACAAGTATGTTCTCCATTAAGACTGTGTGGAATCAAACTCATTTTAAAATTTATCTGAGGCCGTTTTCAGAAGATACCTGGGGAATGTTGGTTTTGACCTTGCTTTTCAAATTTCTACAACTAGTGCTCTCATGAGCTCTCATTTTAATAACTAACAACTCTCTTCCAAGAGATGGATAAAGATTGATTACTATCTAAAAGGAGATATCTAAAAGGAGATACTTTAGGCACACCTGGGTGGCTCAGTCAGGACTTCAGCTTTGGTTATGATCCTGGGGTCCTGGGATCCAGCCCTGGATCTGGCTCCCTGCTCAGTGAGAGTCTACTTTTGCCCCTCCCTCTCCTGTTCCTCCTGCTTGTGCTCTCTCTTTCTGTCAAATAAATAAATTAAATCTTAAATAGATAAATAAATAAATGGAGATACTTTATACAAATATATCTTTTTTCCCCCTAAATTAAGTCTTCTCTTCTGCAATGGAGAGAAGTTAATATTACCAGCAATGTCTCATATTCCACGAGTGAAACTTTAGCCTATTAATAACCAAAACCTATTTTTAAATTCCTTGAATTTCCCATCCCCCATGGAGAGTCAGTGTAGTATTTACAGAAGGAAATCTGCTCAGCTGCCTGTTTCCAAATCCCCTAGTTTCAAACCAATTTTATTTTCAAAGAAAGCTTGAGTCTTTATTTTGCATGTTTTGCATGAGCCTAGAGAATGAATCTGAAAGGTTGCCAAAGGCCAACTTCCATCAATTTTGAAAAGCCTGACAGTTTTGTTTCTATTACTCCTCAGAAAATGAAGGGTTGGCAAGGTGCAAAGGAACTCAAAACAGAAGATCTTTAAGTTAAGCCTTGTTGGATCAGTACTTACACTTGTACAGGTAGACAATCTTTTTACCATCACAGAAAGAAGTAAACCTGAAAAGTGTCCCTGACATTCGAAAGCACATTTTGAGTTATCTTGAGAATGTCAGACCTGGTTAGATCTGTATGGGGTAAAACCTAGAAAGTTAGACCTTTAGAGAATGTTCAGGTCATCTGTGCTGACCCACTTATTTCCAACAGAAGGAAACTTAATTCCAAAGAAGTGCTATGAAGCTTTCCCAAAGTCACATGTCCAGTAATTATCAGCATGAGGACCCAAGTACTCTAATGCCTGGTCCACAACCCTTTCCTCTCTATCTTTCCTTCCCTTTCCTTTTTCACCTTTAAAATAATCTGGTTTTCCTGAAGTCTCAGCTCCCTAGATATAATGAGAGAAATACTAAATGTACTTTTCCAAACCTTTTGGAGATAAAAATTCAACATTTCTAAAGCAAAACTGACCTGTATTATTTAATTTAATAATACAGTTTAATTGAGGTCATAATTGGTGGTGGAATAGTAATGAAACTCCATGAAGAACTTTTAAAAGAAAACTGTAAGAGGGGAAGCGTACCAGATCAGCTGGAGAATTTTGGTTCTGTGGAATAGTCAGGCCAAAGAGTAAACGGGCATAAGGAAAATGGTAGGAATGCTTTACCCACTTTTTGGCAAGTATTCACTGAATACCGATATCTGTGGCTCACACTGTAGTAGGAGAAATAGACAGCCAACAAGATAAAGAAGTAAATCTAGAGAATCCCAGATAGCAGTGAGTGCTAAGAATGACACATAAAGAGGGGAAGGGCAACAGGATATTTCATACATTTGTTGAGGGTGTGTGTGTGGGTGTCCTTTGAGACTGTTTATAGGCCTCACAGAGATGTTGTTTGAAAAAGCTCTGACAAGAATGAGGTTCAATTAAGTTTAATAAGAATTTCTCATTTCTAAATAATATAGTGTGTTAGAATTCAGAACTGTTAACTAGTATAAGCCTTCAAATTCTACACTAAAATGTGACATACAAATGACCAGATAGGTGGATCAATAGGGCTAATGATTTTTTTAAGATTTCATTTATTTATTTGAGAGAGAGACACACAAGGAGGGGGAGGAACAGAGGGGAGAGAGAGAAGCAGACTTCCCGCTGAGCAGGGAGACTGATGTGGGACTTGATGCCAGGATGCTGGGATCATGACCTGAGCCGAAGGCAGATACTTAATCCCCTGAGCCATCAAGGGGAATAGGGTTAGTGATTTACACCACTGAAAAGCCTTGGAAGAAATAAATTCCCACCTTCAACTCTGTATATGTTTCATTTTAAGGCACATCAAGGGGGAGTGCTCTCCTACTCAGGGCCACTGTACTGCCTCACAACCCAGGTGTGTCTGAGGAGCTCTGGGCCAGCAGGGGTGGTGCTGTTAGAATCAGAATCAGAATCAGAATCAGAAAACGTGAGAACAACCCCCCCTTGCCTCTTCTCTAATAGCTTGATTACCTTGGGCAGACTTCACTAATCCACAGCTCAGGGGACCACACCAGCGCTGGAATGGCCTGGAGGGCTTAAGGTCCCGGGCAAGAGCTGCAAGCAGTGCAGGAAACACCTAGTGCATTATGACTGTCTTTCTTCTGCATCATGACATTTCAGTCTCATTGTGATGAAGACATTCAATTTGATGTCTGGCCAAGAGAAGGTGATGATCCTCAGTTTGGGCAATTCTAAACCAATCCGTTTTTACCATGGCTTGCCCCATTCCCTGGGGACTGCACATTTACCTCAAGAGTTTGCTCAGTCCCTGAGCCTTGGAGTTTGGGGTTCATAGAGGACAGCAAAGAAGTGGCATATACTCTGGAGGCCCATTCCCCATAGGAGTTCAAGTAATAGTAAAATATAAATGATCATTAATTTAATAGTAATAACTATTGCTCAATATGGAGTGTTTACTCATTGCCAGACATTAGGCTAAGTGTTTTACCCACATCTTTTTTGTTTTGCTTACCACAGCTCTGAGAGGTACATGAGACATTGTCCTGGCTTTGGATTTGACATAACTGACACATAGCTGTTAAGGTGACTTGCACGGGGTCATAAGCTCAGGACTCAGTGTTGGGATTTGAACCAGACTTGTCTACATCTGTTAAGAGCCTGGGGCCTGAACCATTACAATGACCCCTCCTTAGCTTGTAGGGCTTCTGCTAGGTGCCCACTGGTGGCGGAAAGAAGCCTGGTGGCCCATGGAAAGGATACCTTAGAGGAGAGAACAAAGGTAGGGTATAAGGAAGACAAATATGACCTGAGAAACATTTTAAAACTCAAAGAGACTCAAAGGAAACACAAGAATGTTAATAGTTTCCTTCTTCTGAGTACGTCATTTGAAAGTGACTCATCACTGTATCAATTCAATATTAATAAGGTGTCCCCTACTTGAACACACCCTAAGAGCTCTAAATGGAAACCCATGTGTATTTGATGTGTACATATAATGTTGATTCTGTATGTATTTGCATACAAGTTTAAGTTTCCCCACTTGAAGAACAACAGAAAAGGACTGCTGTGGGATTTTTAGTCCATTCTACAGACAAGTGGCTGGGATCATCTTCAGATTCTCATGAACAGGAAGGAATTCTTTCTTCTCCCATGGGATCTCTGACCTCTCTGTCTCTACTCTCCTCTTTTCCTTCTACTCCCTTCTTTCTTTCCTTTTATAAATCCCTATTATTCTCTCTCTCTTTAGAAAATATCTGATTTTCAGATATTAAACTGTGGATATACATTTATTGAATGAACTCTTTTGATGTCATTCTTTATTTTAAAATTTGTGGGTTGACTTCTTCTTCTAATTCTCAAAGAAAGCCCCAGGAAATTCAAAGCAGTTATATATAGGCCCGGTCCTACCTTCATTGGGTCAATGTCCTACTTATGTTATATAACCATGTCAACTAGTCATTGTTTACACCACAGGGGTATCTCAGAAGTGAAATCCCCAACCTTCCTGATACAAGTGATCCCATCTCTCTGATCTAAATCTCTTCTCTGAGACTTAGGTTCAAATATGGCCAGCATCCAGTGGGCATCTCAGACTCCCTTCATCATCTCAGACTCCACGAAAACAGGATAAAGTGGCTTCCTCTGTCTACAGTCCAGCCGGGCAGGGTGGAGGCGCTGAGCTCCGGCTGGGGACAGCCTCAGTCAGAGGAGGGGTGGGGTGGGGCTCGGCCGGGGAAGGGGCTCCAGGGCTGCTACTTGAGGGCGTCCAGGTGGGTGCAGACTTGGGAGAAGACACTGTCCACGGAGCCCTCGGCATTGACCTTGCGTACGATACCACGTTTTTCATAAAAGGCGATGACAGGCTCTGTGGCCTTGTAGTAGGTCTCTAGCCGCTTTTTGATGGTCTCTTCGTTGTCATCCACTCGCCCGCTGGTCTCTCCGCGCTTCAGGAGCCGCTGGATCATGGTCTCAGGGCCTGCGTCCACATACAGCAGCAGCGTGGGCTGTCCGATCCTCCGCTCAAACTCCTCTCCCTGCTGTACCTCCCGAGGGTAGCCATCGATCAGAAAGCCTTTGGAGGTATCTACCTTGGCCACCATGGCATCTCGAAGCATGTCCAATACTGTCTCCAGCGGCACCAGCTGCCCCTTCTCCATGATCTCTGACAGAAACCCATTCCCCCTTTGGCATTCTTTCCTCCAGTGGCTAAAATCATCTTGCTACTAGCCATGCAAGTTAAAATCTAAAAATTTTCTTCAACATCTCTTTCAACTAAATTCCAACATCTCACCACTCACCAGTTTCTGCCAATACTGTTTCCTAAGTATTTCCCAAATTTCTGCCCCTTTATCCCAACCCGCATGGCCCTGGTTTCCAATTTTTCAGATGACAGTTGACCCTTGAACAACACAGGTTTGAACTGTGCTCGTCCTCTTACATGTGGATTTTTTTTTCCCACAAATACAATACAGTACCTTATATGTTTTCTCTTCCTTATAATTTTAATAATTTTTTTTCTCTAGCTTACTTTAAGAATACAGTATATAATACATATAACATAAAATAAGTGTTCATTGACTGCTTATGTTATTGGTAAAGCTTCTGGTCAACAGTGAGTGATTAGTAGTTAAGTTTTTGAGGAGTCAGTACTTGTGGGTGGCTCCATTGGTTGAGCAACCAACTCTTGGTTTTGATTCGGGTTGTGATCTCATGGGTCATGGGATTGAGCTCCACGTTGGGCTCTGTGTTCATCAGGGAAGCCAGCTTGAGGATTCCCTCCTTCTTCCCCTCCCCAACTCATGCACACACTCAAGCTCTCTCTCTCTAAAATGAATAAATAAATCTTTTATTTTATTTTTAAAAATATTTTATTTATTTATTTATTTATTTGACAGAGAGAGACACACAGCAAGAGAGAGGGCACAAGCAGGGGAACAGCAGAGGCAGAGGGAGAAGCAGGCTTCCCACTGAGCAGGGAGCCCGATGTGGGGCTTGATCCCAGGTTTTGGGGAATCAAAATTATGTTTTTTTTAAGATTTTATTTATTTATTTCATAAACAGAGACCACAAGTAGGCAAAGAGGCAGGCAGAGAGAGAGGGGGAAGTAGGCTCCCTGCCGAGCAGAGAGCCCAATGCAGGGCTCAATCCCAGGACTTTGGGATCATGACCTGAGCTGAAGTCAGAGGCTTTAACCCACTGAGCCACCCAGGCGCCCCGGGGAGTCAAAATTATATGTGGATTTCAACTGTATGGAGGATCTTTGTCCCTAAGCACCACGTTATTCAAGGGTCAACTATAATTGCCAACACGGTCCCTCAATGGTTGTTCAGAGCCAGTCCTGGCTTCCTCAAATCCATTTCTCACACAGCCACATTCATTCAAAATGCAGTCTGCAGTCTGACCATGACACTCTTTGGTTTAAATTTTGGGGGCAGTAATTATCTGTGGAATAAAGTTAATCTCATTAATAAGATCCAGAGGGGCTAAGTCTTCAACAGCAAGGCTCTATGATGTCTCCACATACTTTTGTTGAGTAATTTTATCCTGAGATGTCTTTACCCTGTTGTGTACTACCCAACACTCCCCTTCCACACTCCCCAACCTCCCTATCCCTCCTAACACTCACCTACCTTCAAACTTCCCTGATCTACTGACCCTTCCACTCTGACTCCTTTCACTCTGCCTAGGGACAATCCCTCCCAGAATCCATGCCCTTCCCCACCCTCTGCTCCATGCACCCGTGGTGTCCTGGGCACATCTCCATCATTGCATTTCTCTTTCTCTGTTGTAATTATCTGACTCTTTCTTACCATTCACCTGTAAGTTCATTAAAGGCAGGAAACATCCTTATACTTTCTGTCTCTAGCACCTAGAAATTATCTGGCATATAATGAAACTCATTTTTATCTCTTTGGCTCTCACTACAGGTAATTAGACTATCACAGCTCATATAATTGATGATTTCACACACTTAAAATCAGAACTACTCCTCTGATTCTTAAGGTCAGAATCTCCTATTTGTGGAGGTTTTGCTTAGTGGTTGACTTTAGTATTTAATTGTGCATTTATACATATATAGCTGTGTATATTATAATTATTATCAAATAATAAATTACTTATTACTATACATCACACTTCAAATTTAGTATTTTTCTATCACTGAGCATGTACTGATTGCTTTCTTTATGATTAGACAACACTGTCACTGTTGAGAATCCAAAAATGAAGACTCAGTTTCTGCCCTCACGATGTTTACAATGAAGTATTTAATTATTAATTTGGTAATTCAGTAAAAAATAAAAATTGTTGGAATATACTCTAGGAAATGTGGAGGAAATGATGGTGGTAGTTAATGAATAAGTAGATCATATGCAAAATGTTACATTCACTAATTGCTCATTATGTAGCAGACACTGTTTTAGATACTTCATATATTTTCTCTTCAGTTCTTACCCTGAGAAGTAAAATAACTTACCTAAGTTAGCAAAATTTAAAACCAGGTCTTACCAGATTTCAAAACACAGATGCTTCACTATCCAGAACCAGAAAAGAAAACACGCCCAGATCGCAGTTTTCTCTGAAGAGTTCATGAATGCAATAGTGGAGACGTGCAGGTACCTAATAGAAATGTCACATTTATGCTCAAGCAAGTTGTGCAGAATAATTAAAAACTTAATAGCTGTGCTTGGTTTTGGCTTAAATTTTACAAACTGGATGTGGCAATGCTAGTTCTTTCATGGCACTCAGAAGCTCAACTTGGATGTTGTGTATGATCCTGGCTAGTAGAGAATATGTATCATGACTTCAAAAATACTGTTTTGGTAGAGGAAGTCTCTCAATATTGGGGGCTCATAGGAAGAAGTAGTAAGAGGAGCCCTTGGTAGTCAGGAAGTTTGTAACCACTGAATAAAGCAATTGAAGATTGTGGGAAATCTCTTGGAGCCTGGGCTTTGCTTCCTGGGGCAGGGACCACAGCATGGGCCCCGATGAGGGGCAAGGAGCTGGGAGGCAGAATGAATGGCTGACTTCAGTTAGCATGGGATTCTCAGGCTCATAGGGACAGATTTGGCTCACCTCTTCTCCAGCTTCTAGGGTAATCTGAGCCCCAGTACCAGGGAAAGACTGTCTTTTCTGCTACCAATGTTATCTTTATCAAAGCATGAGCATTCTTTTCTATTTTGGAAAAAAAAATCACTTGTCCCATCAAATATTTGGCTAGGCATTGAAAGGGGGCAATTTATAGATTTTGCTTGGAAAAAGAAAAGTACTTAAAGTTTGTACTTTGTTCTCTACTCGTTGAACTGTAATACACCCAATCCATGACAACTGTGTGTAATGGAGAGGAATATACCAAAGGTGACAGGATTACACACACTGATTATTTGGTTGGAACAAGTCATTCCAGTGTGTTTAAAATTTGTTCAGACCCATTCTTCCAGGCACCGTGCAAGAGAATAGTAATTTTTCATATTTGAAAAGGAAGAGAATCTGTGAGAGCAGAGAGATCACACCTCATCTCTTTTCCCTCTCCCTCCCCCTCTCTTTCTTTTAACATGACACAGAAGGAAGAAAGACTCAACTGAAAAATGTAATCTATATCAATTTAACAACTTCATTGCAGGAAGCACTTTCTCTTCTTGAAGAGAAAGGTAAGACCAAGCGAAAATGGTAAAAGAAAAACAAGGTGTATATGAGAACATAAGATGACCTTTGAGAGATCCTAGCCAAACACAACACTGTGTCACAAAGACAGTAACCCCTCCACTCCTGGCCTTGATCTTGTCTGAATAAAAAGTGTTTGCTGCCTGCATTAAAGTTCATCATAAATCTTGGAGAGAAGACTCTTGGAATAAGATGCAGTCTAGTCAATGCCTGGGAACAAATATTATAGAACCATGCCAGCCTTTCTTTTCCTTAATGGTCAGTCTGGGAAAAAAAAAAAAAGACAACCCAACAGGATGTTGAATATTATTTTCCTAGTACTTTAATTGTTGCTGTAAAAATAAACGCAGTAAAAACTAACATGACAGTTACCAAAAAAGTGTGTTTCCCTACCATCTATGTAATAAATGGTATAAATCCATCGTGTTAGAACAATGAGTTCATCCTCATTCTGATCTTCCCAGGCTACTGTATTAAAATCAAATAAAGGTTAATGGACTTGTTTCATGGTTTAGAGATGTAGGTCTTGATTTTTTAAACTCATTTGTGGATTTTCTTCCAAATCATCAAGCTTCTAAATCATTAGTAAGAAATAGCCACTTATTATTTTCCAAAGATAATGGGTCTATAGGACCCTTTCTTTCCTAGCTCCATAACTACTGATCTCATTCAATGTTATTTAATGTCTAAAAAGAGATAACAGGTTAAGAGTGGCAATGAAGACAACACTCCCTATAAAACCTTGCAGCAGAGCCAGTTCTTACTTAAACACAATTTGAAATTCAACATCCTCTTTAATATTCAGCAGCTGAAAACTGTCTCTGACTCCATTTATCTTGACCTGAAATGAATGCGGATTATTTCTAGAGGTCTGGATAACATCAGAAAATGATAGCATTGGTGGGAGCCAGTAACAGAAATGGACCATACCTATGTCTACACCTATACTTATACTTATAACTGTACCTATATCTATTCTTATTCTAATTCCTATAGCTTCTTACGGGTATATCTGGTTCTCTGTTGGATCCTTAAAACTGCCACAGTCTTCTCAATAAATATTGTGGAATCTATGAATATATCATTCTCCCAGAATTAAGAATGAATTATGATGACCACCGAAAGTGGCATATTACCAATTTGTTGTCACAGTGCCCGATAACAAGGTTTGAATTGTCTTAAGGGAAAAGATCATTTATTGTCATGGGTCACCTAGTATGTACTAAGTCCTGTTTTCATTTCTATTTTAATTGAACAACCTAAAATTGACTTTTGTTGTTGATACTATATTTTGGCCATTTCAAACAGTGTGATCAGAAGTCAAAGGATGTATTTAGATATTAGAAAGTAAAAATGATGAAATTATACCCATTAACAATCTTTTTTAATTTAGGAGAATCCATAGTTAGTAGAACCCAGAAAGATATACTAGATGAACTGAGATCTGGGTCAGGCTCATTCCAGGTGAGTTGAGGTATCTTCACAGGAGTTAGGGCACTCA